TTAACTAAAACCTACTTTTAATAATAAACTAATTCATGTCTAAAACATGTTTACTGAATATATCTTGTGATTGGGATCGGCATCACTACTAACCAGCGGCCGACAGCCACTGATTCGATACCACCTGATCCATGGACGGGCGATTGGCCGGATTCAGGTCCACCATACCGGTCAGCAGATCCAAAAGGTGACCGGCAAACCATTTGCTCAGACACTCTTGAGCGGTGGCGCCCTGTCTTTGGGCGTCCCTCTGGGGGCCGAAGCCAACCATCGATACGGCTAGAGTCACGCCCAGGGAGTAGACATCGCATTTGGATGTGTCAAACTGTGGCGGATGGCCCACAAGTGTCCACAGGCGGCCGGCCAGAGTGGGCTCGTATTCGGGCGGCCGGTAAGTCCCTTCGCCGGCGGTCTGGCCGCTGAGCATACCCTCCTGTGCGCGGAATTTCAACGCCTGACCAAAGTCGGCCAATTTCCACACCCGTTGGTAGGTCTGCACACCGGCGCCCCGTTGGCCGCCGACGCGGTCCACAAACAGCACATTACCGGGCCTTATGTCCAGATGCGCGACACCGTTGTGGTGCAGGTATTGCAGACCTTTGGCGATCTGCGCGCACCACCGCCGCCCTGTGCTCTCCTGGAGGCGACCGCCCGGCGCCGCCGCCATCGCCTGCTTCAGATCGCCGGCGCACAACTCCATGAACACGAAGGCAAACAACGAGGTGAACCCAGTTGGCCGATCGCCGGCCTTCACTACCGACTCGATGGCCACGACGTTCGGGTGCGCCAAACCGCGCAACACCTGTACTTCGCGCAGCATTAGGCCGACCGCCGCCGACAACGATAGGCCGGCGTTCGCATAGTTGGCAATCTGCAGCACTTTGGCGGCCAACTTCTGGCCCGTGTTGTGGTCGTGCACTCTCCACACCTCACCGAACAGGCCCTGACCTATCNCACCGATTGTTGTCTACCATTGAATCGATAGGCAATGAAAGCGTCAATAATTGGCGACACAATCAGAATCAACACAAGTATTGCCACAATATATGACAATACGTTTGATGTCTGCCATGTGTTAGAAGCCGTTCCCGAGTTTGAAGTAATTTCACAATATATATCGGAAAACAATTGTTTGGGCTATAAATGAAATTACAAGATAAATGGGAGAGAGGGAGAGAGAATAATAGAGTGATAACTATAAAATACAATACTTTCTTATAAAGTTGATCCAACTTATCGATGGTCTCTAACTCTTTCTTCACTGTCGTGTCCATCGGGTCGTAATCGTAGAGTAAATTATCATTTTGTGGCCGATTATTGGCCACCAAACGAACGATGCGCTCCTCGAAATCAAAGTAAACGCCAATAATTTTGTCAATTACCAATTTGCCTAGATCATATTTGTCTGTCTTAGCAAATGGTAGATTGGGATCCAGTTTAATGAATGGAAACCATAACTGCTTTGATATCTTATACTCCCGCCCGGTGTATGAGATATATATCTCTCCGGGTGTATAATAGGGAATGTTATACATCTCAACCGCCATTTTTGGCCACAAACGCCACGCAAATAATAAGGGCTCTTCACTCATATGTGTCCCGTCTATGTGAGCGCCCAGAGTCTGGTCCATAGTTTGGGTCGGGTGTCCGTCCCGTCGGATCACCGGTAATAACGTAAAAACGCTGTCGTGAGACATATTGTGGGCGTGATTGTCAACAAAGTCGATGTATTTAAACAACCCGTATATGTATTGACCCAAATCACGATAGGTATGGCTACTCTTGCCGTGTATTATCACATCATAATAGCCAGGAAAGTGCCACAAATGTACTGAATATCCGGTCACCCGATGTCTAGTGTCTTACATATGGTAAAAAATTATTTCAAAAATTTGGTATAATATTGATTAGTAAACTATTTACCGAAATACGTGGCCAACAATTGTGTTACATATGTGTCAAAACTAAGTGTCTTATTTCGAGTATAGAAATGACGGCCCGATTGGTAATACATTTGACGACCGATATTGAATGCGCTTTGAGAACGATCTAGATTCATTTTGATTTTAAATTTACAAATATCTTTAACATTGTGGGCGACCATTAAATATGTCATGTGAGACACGGGACAACTCAATAAACTAGACCACTTGATGGCTTTGTGCGCTACAAACTAATTAATTAAATAAATATTTATTAGTATTATTTAATAATTCAAGTAAATTATTAAAAATAAAATCCCAAATAGATTGGAAATACCTCTAAATTTTGTGTATTTTGTAAATCAACTGGTTCATCGTCCTATGCAAGTATGAAAATAGTGTTGTTAATAAACCCTTGTGATAATTATAGAGGATAATTACCTTCACAGCAGTGATAATCCAATTGGTTTGATATAAGAGCCGAACCGGGACTCCGCTAACAAGTGTTTGAACAAAACTGTAGTAATGCTGACGATATCTGAATAGTGAACGTATGTTAGTATTGCCGTCCATTATATGGTATGTCTGGAGTTTAGCCCTCAATTGCAGCCCTAATTCAATATAATTGAGCGGTTTGTTAGAGTCCAAGAAACTAACATGCCAACTCAGCGCCATGGCCACCCACGTGGTCCTATTTTGGACGGGCTTACGATGTTGCAATATTAACAACTCATTATGGCCACGTTTCTCATGCGAAACCATGTGGGTGCCCGCCAACATATTCATGGTGTATAATTTGTGTCGTATATAATAAGATAATAGTTTGCAAAACTTGTCACGCCTTTCGTGACGGCCGAGCGCTGGCCTCTGAAGGCCGGCCGGCGTGTACTCATAGGTGCCGTAAATGTCGTCCGTAAATAAAAACGGCTGACTCTTGGTTCCCGAACCGGTGCCGTACAGACAGGCGTGATAATGGTATTTGGATTTTGAATACATGGTCAAACATTGGGGCCAATATTGCGGTTCAAAGTCGTAACACTGGTACCAATCGTCCGATTTGAATGTAAACCCAAATACCGGTTGACTCGTGTCTGCGATAATGAAATACATTTTAATAAATTGTTAAAATATATTTTTAAATAAAATACAAACCAAAGCCTTCGGACTCGAGTAAAGCGCCAATATTTGAGTCCAAAACCAGATTTTTAATGTTTTGATTGCGAAGTGGATTGACATCCGAGAGGGAGTCCGAAGTGAAACCAATGCTATTTAATTGCCAAAAGCGTGTGTTTTGTTGAAAGTATAGGTCATTTCCTAAACTCATTATATTATCAAAAGCAAATTTTTGTGGACAGAACTCAAACGGAGCGAAAGGCGCCGGACGTTCATTACATCGGAGAAACGTGCCATACGTTGGGGCCTATAAAATGCACATGATATTTGTTTTTTAAATCAAATAATTATTTTCATGACATTTAATGTTTACAAACCATAAAACAATAATTAATAGGAGGGAAGTGCCGGGATATACCGGTCAACGGTGTGCTTAGCGTACAGTTGTCCGGACACCCGTATATACATCGAGTCCCGGAGCTATAGAGACGACTGAATAAAATAATGATGGTTTCAAAGAGATTACTTTGTGGTAAATCAGTTCCGGATTTGTTATTCATCGAGTCTTCGCTCAGATAATAGAGATCTAATGACTGATCGGTGTTGCCGTCTATTCGCCGAAATAGTGCGATACTTTTGTTTCCGGGCTGACCGTCGGGTGTGTTGTCCTCGTCCTGACTAATGGACAGCAATTGTCGCGATTCGTTGTTATACTTCACGGAAAACGTTTGGTTTAGATATTGAAGACATTGCTGTTGGAAGTGTTGGATGTGTTTTGGAAATCCCATGAATTTGTTATCCTTGTAATAGTACTGGACAGGCATTGGTCTCTCGGCTTTCATTGTAATTACAAATATGATTTTAAGTTATAAACATAATTAAGTTCTCTCTCTCTCTCTCTCTCTCTCTCTCTCTCAAAAATAAAATAACTTATAATCCATACTTTGATTGGTTTCATAGACGCAGACAATATCGGTGTTAGGATTCTCTTTGACAGCGATATATAGATCGCAAAGGGATTGCGATAATGTTGTGGCGTTATTACGACAGTCGGTGACAATCTCTTTATTAAAAGCGTCGGGCAATACGTGTGCCGTTATTTGAGCGAAAAAAGCTACAATTTTTGGACAATAATGGTAAACATAAATAAATAATACAATATCATTAAGGTATAAATCCAAATTAACTAAGGTTGAAATTATTGGCGAGATAGTCGAGCAAATGGATTGAGTCGCGGGTCCGCCGATGATTATAAGTGGGTATATGCGAGGGATGGGAGGGTTGGGCCGTATAGGTTGCGTTCCACATGAAGAGCTCTTGCCTTCTGTCACTTCCCCGGCCTTTGAGCGCATGGAAGAAGAAACTGTGTCGGAGACGAAACACACTTACGATGCGATCGCTTTCGCAGATCGTAAAGTTGGCATCCGTTGAGACAACCAAATGGTTAACGCATATTATGGTTACTATTAATAGGAGTTGCGGTATAATTGAAGGCATGTTTGCAAATGAATTACCAAATTGTGTGAGATATGAGTAGTTTATAATTTGTTTTTAATTACTTAATTGATATTTAAATATTATATGGAAATATTTCACGAGATGTTGTCTATTTATTTGAAGTATAATCAATTTAATGAACATAATAATAGATAACTCATTTAACATGTTTATTTATAACTACGGATCATGAGAAATAGTTTTTATATCTCAACACAAAGTTATATCAATTAAGTACAAAGCTTTAATTAATTAGTTATTAAATCATATTTGAAATACAATTTAAAAATTAGTTATTTTATAATAATAGTAATTAAACAAACTGTATTTCATTTATCAAAATGTTATACAATTAAACATCAAAAGATAAACAGTAATTATAATGAAATACAGCAAAACGAATGGCTTTTAAAACTTAGACCGTTTATAATAATCTATGACTTAAATGACAATTAAATGTATTGAATATTAATTAGAAATGTCTTCAAATTCAAACTCATTAACATAATAGCCATCAATGAAACGATAGTTATAGCCATTGAGTGTTATATTCTGTGGTCTGAAGTCATTCCTCGGCATCTTATCCGAGAAATACTGTTTGGCGTTTTGATACTTCTGGCCACTGATGGTCAGTCTCTTGAGATGAAGATCATTGGTCGCCTCATTCCATGGCGATAATTCCACCGCCTTTTTTGCCATCAATTGACCCATAGTTATAGCGATGAATGTCTCGACACAAGTATTTAGTTTTTTCTCGGGGTAAATGAGAGCCAATTTTGAAATGATCATGCTCAGATTGCCGAGATTTACCATAGGCTTTAAGTGTTCCTCAATTGTTTCCATGAGACGACATAAATGGTATTTAACAGCAATCTTCAGCACATCACAGATCAGTTCCACATCTGTGCCATCGCTAAAGACCAGTTGATCCGTATATAAGTAGCGAATCATTGCCTTAAAAGCGTTGGCATTCGTGTCCTTCAGCCGTATTTCCCTTTTTTCTGATAATTTATATTTCCCCGCAAACGCTGTTCTAAAGGCTTCACTCTTCAGACTCAATACATCACTCAATGCGGGAACTCTTTGGCCATCAATTATGAAGACGACATCGCTTTCCGGTTCATTCAAATACCACCACATCTCCGGATATTTGGTGTTGTCGTTCACATTCATTGCCTGTAAAAGTGATCATCAAATCAAGGGTTAATTTAATGCTTACATAAAATGGCGATAAGTAGTGATAATTGCCTGAGAAGTAGTGTCTAAAGTCACTGCCACTCGTTTGGGCTCATTTTCAGTGACATTGCGTATGTGTGGGTACTGTCCTAAGCCTAACATATTCCTCTGTCGAGGAATGTTTGCCTGTATTGACGAGTGTTTGCGATTCTTAAGACTTTTAACCAATACGTTTAGGTAATAATCATTGGTCGCCTCATTCAATAGCGCCAACTCTTCCATGTTTTTGGACAACAATTGGTCCGAATTATCGGCAATGAATTTCTCCACAAAAGCCCTCAACTCCTTCATCGGATAATTGAACGCCATTTTTGATATAATCTCCAGATTATTCAGAGTGACCATTGGTTTCAAACGTTTCTCAATTGTGTCCATCAATCGAGACAAATGATATTTATCGGTGATTTTCAACACATGAACCATAAGTTTCATATCTGCGCCATCATTTAAGGCCAGTTGATCGGTGTATAAGTAGAGAATCATTACTTTGAATGCCTCGGCATTCATGTCCTCCATTGGGATCTCTACGTCAACCGATTCTTTGAAGTTTCCCGAAAACATGGCTCTAAAGACCTCACTCTTGAGACCCAATACCTGTTTCAATGCGGGAACTCTTTGGCCATCGATTATGAAGACGACATCGCTTTCCGATTCATTCAAAAAGCACGACATCTCTGGATATCTCATATTTTTTACGTGTTTTGGCTGAAAAAGTGATTATCAAATCAATGGTTAATTTTATTCTTACATAAAAACAGCGCTTAACAGGTGTTACCTTTGAAGTGGTGTCTAAGAGTACTGTCACTCGTTTGGACTCATTTCCACCACCACTTCCATTGCCATTGTAATGGGATTTCTTCGCATTAAACATGTGTTGGTATTTGTGTTTAAATAAATGCCAATTGAACGCAAATTAGCGGCTATTTTATAAGTAGTTTGTGTTCACTCCCTATTGGATTGCATTGTGAATGTTATACAGGTCTAAATTATGTCGTTATCATATATACAATATTGTTTATTATTATTGCATTCAAAATATTTGATAAATGTATATTGTACTTTTATAATATAATGCAAAGTACATCCATATAATGTAAATTTAGAGTAATGTTATGTGAATTGTTTTATAAGAATTTGGACTTTAATTAAATGTTTACTTGAAAATTAATATTATTTGTCGTGTAATAAAATCTCACTGTGTACAGTATCTTATGGTACATTGTAAAAACTTTTAATATAAACATCATATTTGTTAGATAAATATTTAATTGTCATTGGTTTCTATCACACTATTGAAATCATACATTATATAAGACATTAGAATTTAATATTATGCTTTAATTTTTGTTTAAATAAAAAATTAATTAAAACTTAACTGGTTATATTTAAATAAAATATAATTTCATAATGGATATCAAAATTTTGGCATCCTTATTAAAAATTTATAACAATTAATAAAAATAATATAAACATACAAATAGGTCTAATTTGTTAAAAATTTAGTTTGGTTTTTGTGATTATTATTTCGCAATCTGTGATTTTAAATTTTTATAATAAAAAATCACAAAAACCAATTCGTTGTTTAAAATGCACACAAATCTAAAGACAATGCGTGAATGAGACGATCCAAATGACTCGACGTGGTAGATAATTAGACAACAGATAACTAATTTAACATGTTTATTTATAAGTTATGATTCATATTTAAGGTAACGAAGAAATTGGATTAAAATTGTTTAATTATTGTATTTTTAATCACAATTAATTATGAATAATTTAGTGGACAGGATTGTGTGGCCTAAACTTAGAGTGCTTTTATGTTTTTATATCTCAACACATAGTTATATCAATTAAAAATTTTAAACAGTTTAAAATGTGGTTAGTTTCTAAATGTCTTAATATTATCGTAATTTTATTGAAAATAGAGTTTATTCCCAGCAAAGTATGGTTTGATCAGTAGTTTAGGGCATTATTTACCCGATTCGCAAACAGCAAGTGTTACATTATGTAACTTACACAACTGACCATAATGTATATTATTTTAAATATGTATTTTATAACAAACAATATTTTAAACAACATTTTTAAATAAAATTGTTTTGTAAAATATTTTATTTGCACCAAAAAAACATTTTACAATAATAATAAATTAATTTATAAATCACAATTTACAGTTAAAATCAATCGGTTTAAGCAAAAGTTTTGAAAATATTTTAAACCACAAAAAATTGTTTGCGAAAAATAATCGCAAAAAAATCCAAACAAAAACTAAAGCTTTGTTTAAAAGACAACAAATCACAAGACATGGCCGACGACGGAGACGATCCAAATGACCGGACGTGGCGGCCGGGGATGCCTTTGGACACCACTTTTGGATGGGGTCCCAACAGGGGTAGGGGTGGCCGCGGCGGTAGGGGTGGTGCGCGCGGTCGCGGTGGTAGAGGTGCTAACCGCGGCGGCGGCAGAGGTGGCGGTGAAGCGATTCCCTTCGTTGGTAGAGGTGGTGGTGTCGGAGGTCATGGCGGCCACAATAGAGGTCGTGGCAGAGGTGGCAGAGGTGGCAGAGGTGGTA